ACTCAACCCCGCCCCCGCCGGCTGTTGGTCCCGCCCCCGGCCCCGCACCAGCAGCTACCCCGGTCCCACGAGTGGTGGGTGTGGCCCCGGGGGGGGTCCGGGGTGGGGCATAAAACCCCATTTTTGGGGTTTAGCCCATGTGGTGCGCGCTTTCGCTGCGCACCCCCCACTATTTTTTTTATTTTATTTTTTTGCGGGGGGGTCTGGAGCCGGGGTTGGGGGTGCCCACCCCCGGAACCTTGGAACCCCGCCGGGGCCCCGGGGCCGGGGCTCGACAACCCTGGCCTCAACCACTCTGTAAGGTCCCATCCACCTATTGGCAAGCTTTCCGGTCCAGGTCCTCTCCAGTGCCGCGTCGTAGAGAAGGACCATATCTCCTACGCTCACCCTCTCTTTCCTTATTCTCACGGTCTTATCCCATCTCTCTTTTCCCTTGTCCCTTTCCACTGCCAAACGATCGGCTGCTGTCATAAGGTTATCTTCCAACCCGTAGGCTATCTGTCTTGTTCGAGCAGCTAAGAGTTCCTCTCTGGACATCTCCTCTGCCCAGTCAACGGTTGTCCAACTGTCGACGTGAAATTCTATGGGAAGCGGACAATGTCGCCCAAACCACAAGGTGTACGGGGGGTATCCGGTACTAGCCCGGACCGTGACGTTGTCCGCCCAAATTGCGTATCGAAAATATCGTGGCCAATCACTGTCCTTACCTCTGCACCACTTGGATAGCGACGCTATCAGGGTCTGGTGCCTCCTTTCTACTGGGGAGTTCGACTGTGGGTGATAGGCGATGGCTATCGAAACTCTCACACCAGCTCTCCTAAACACGCTCTCGACCTCGTCGGCTAGGAATTCCGCCCCTCTGTCCATCACTATCTTGCCGACACATCCATACCTAGATAAGTACTCTAGGACCAAGTTCTTTACTTCCTTTGCCGCCTTCCTCCTGATAGGTCTACCGTCCACGAACCCAGTGAAATCGTCTCGTATGTTCACGGCGTAGTTCATATTGCCCACCCCTCTCGGCATTTTCACCAGATCGATGTGTACCTTCTCTCCTGGTCGCGTTGGATAGGATGGATGAAGTGGCTCTTTGTATTTCACAAGAGCTCTCTTCTGACACTCTTCGCATGTCGYGCAGTACCTCTCGACGTCCTTATACTGTCCATCCCACCAGTACAGCYGGCGTATCTTTTCGTAGGTTCCCTTGATTCCCCTGTGTCCTCCAACTACCCCGTCGTGAAGTTCYGCAACTATTGTCTGTCTCTCCTCTGGGTCACAGACTACTCGCAAGGGCATTCCCGACCCTAYTGGCCTTCGGAAAAGGTGACCCGCTCGAAGACAGTACTGGGCTGCTTGCCTCCGGATATCTGAATCTTGACTCTCCTCTCCCGTCAGGTGTAGCCCGATTATTCGGTACTTGCCCTCGTAAAGATTAACTATAAATCTTTCGGCGCGTCTCAGCTCTGCCATTGTCAGAGCCCCAACTACTATCGGGCGCTCGAGAGGGATGCGTGAAAGTCCATCTGCCACAGCATTTTCAGTACCAGATACTCTCTCAACCGTGTAATCGTATAGCCGAATCCGTATTAACCATCGGGCGATGGTCGGGTCCGTCAGACTAAAGTCCTTCTGGAGGACAGAGGCTATCGCGGTGGGGTCTACTCTCAAGATGAACTGTCGTCCATAGATATAGTGTCTGAACGTGTCCAGACACCGAAGAACAGCTAACACTTTGAATTGACTATGGTTACGCTCAGCCGTATTAAGTGTCCTACTCTCAAATCTCAACGGTCTTTCCTTCCCTCCTGCGTCCTTCTGAGACAGCAAACCATCGACTGAACATGGTCCAGCATCCGTGGATACTCTGAAAGGTCTCTCGGTCTCATCGTCAAAGAATGGCACACCCAACATGCGCCTTCCTTCCTTAAATTCGTCTTTAAGTTCTTGCATCGCGAGTTCCTGCGAAGAATCCCAGTATAATTTCTCAGTCTTTCGAAGGAGTAACCTTAATGGCTCAGCCTTCTCCGCATATCCCCGTATGAATATGCGCCAGTAACCAACCACTCCCAGAAACTGTCGGACCTCGGTTGCGCTATGTAATGGTGAGGGCCAGTTCAGAAGCTTTTCTAACTTTGTCGGATCTGCTCGGCGTCCACTCGAGTCACAGATAAAGCCCAAGATCTTAATAGTCGAGACGACCCATCGGCTCTTGGTTCCGCTGACTGTCAAATTCGCATCGCCCAGCTGCTCGAGTACCGCGCAAATGTCTATTAGGTGCTGCTCGACGAATCTTCTAACTCCAGGTATAACCTCTGTCTCATCCCTGTCTACTGATCCTTTTATAGGAAAGTCATCCAGAAAAACTTCAACCTTATCAGGGATGAAGTCCTTGAGGACGGCTACCATGGCTCTCTGAAAAACGGCTACCCCATTAGTCCAACCCATAGGGACAACCATCATTTGAATTAGTCCTAACGGTGTATGCATAGCCGTGAGATGTCTGTCCCTAGGGTCAAGCGGTACCTCATCATAGCCCGAGAACAGATCACAGACCGAATAGATCGACCTACCTGCTGCACGGAGCCCACGTCTCGTATCGTCACCGCGTTGACCTTCTGAAGGTCCTGGATCCATCGGATCTTGCCATTCGGCTCTCGCAGGAAGAACCACCGATTTGCATAGGCACTATCAGATGGCTCCGCAACGTGCGAAACCATCTTTTCTTTAAGGAAAGCGATAACTTCGTCCTTCTCCTTCTGGGCGTATTTCCACCCCGCGTCGTTCCAGGGAACATGTGGTATCGTGTAAATCCTCGTTGGCTTAGCGTATCTAGGGTCAATCCTACCGCGTTCCGCGTCGCTGAAAGCTATTGCCTTATCACATGTCTTCAGAATTTCTATCACACGTCCTCGCTCCTGTGGGGTCAAATTTCCATCTCCGATATCCATCCCTGCTATTCTCTCTTCCGTTAGGCGTTGTGGCTCCTTTCTCTTTCTTTCTTTGATTTCTTTTGCAATCTCTTCTTCCGTTATCCCTTCTAGTGCCGATCGCTCGCGGCCCACCGCCGCTGGCTTAACTTTTTGAGCTACTCGCTTGTGTCGCTCGGGGAGCCCCCCATAGGGGGCCGTGCCCTTAAAAAAAACACGGATACCACACCGCCAAATTCTTCATCCTTTTCCTTCGGGTACGAGTTGCCGTCTACTATTAGCCGGCTTCCTAAATCTTCCACCTCCACGATCCGACCTTCTTCTTCTGTGAGCAGCGGTCCATATTTCTTCTCGCGAAATCGCACCGCGCGGCTGGAGATAGGCAACGACTTAATCTGATCACTGGTTCTTGCACCCACAGCGAGAGCTGCTCTGTTCCTCGGGTCCCGAGGCTCCACTGTCTCAATCATTACCCGCGTCCCGTCTGGCTTCTTAATGGACAATGTTTGGCTCCCATCAAGTCGCTCTATCGTTACCGCGTGCACGTGGCTGAGCCACGTTCGACCCAAGAGCAGGTCAGAGCTGCAGTTCTTGACTGCAAAGACAGGCAGGGTCACCCGCACCCCTTGGACCTCTAGGATTGCCTTGTGACAAACCCCAGTGATCTGTTGCTTTCTCCCATCAGTCGTCTCTATCTCGAATAGGTATGACCTATCGAGATCCAGTCCAACTTGTACCGCCAGGTCCTCGTCTATGATGACAGCCTCACTGCCGTTATCAATCACAGCATCGAGTACCGCTTCCTCGTTTATAATCGTCTCCACGGCCCCGCTACCAAGTATATAAAACTTATCTGGAGGCACACCTTCAATTCCATCGAGAAGGACTGTCGCCATGCGATCCGCTCTGGCAGTCAGCCCCGTTACTGTTACTATAGACGCTTCCGCCTTAGGGGATCCCTGACCCTCCTCTGATAGAGGTATGCGAGTCTTCCGCGTGATCATCTGTAATTCATCACGCGCCGACTTCGATGCCGCCAGGTACTCCAGAATAGAGCACTGCATGGGTTGCCGAAGGGCCCGCCTCAGTGGCTCAACCGTGTCAATCTCGTCCAGCGAACTCTTCATTAAGAACTTCTTCACTCCCCGCTTTCGCAGCGAAAGGATAACCTCCTCTCCATCGACCCGCTGCCCGTCCTTCTCCGCCATCACGTAATCCGTGTCAGTTTTCTTCAATGTAGACCCTCTCGCCGACTTGGTGGCTGCCACCCTTATGTGTATGGGTGTGGTCGCCATGTCCCCCTCAAAGGTTATCTTGATGCTCTGGCTCCTGACCGGCTCCATTCCTTTACTCGTTTTTATTCTTCTTGCTTCGACATTCTCCTTCATCGAAGGAAACATCGATACATCTCCGAGATCATCAGCCCACTTGACGTACTTGCGGTCGTCAAGCACGACAAGTCCCTCTTTTATTGCCCGTTTAAGATTCGGGCAATCCCTCTTGATATGATCTTCTCCTTTACAATAGACGTATGAGTTCCTGAGAGTAGACGCCCTGTCGTCTGCGCCCCTAGACATCGAATTCCTGGCCGCGTTGGGGTCAGGCGACTTTGGATATGGTTCTGATGAGACACCATATCCCCCTCTCTCATTCCGACTGCGCGAATCGTTGCGCCGGTCTCTTCCAGACCCTCCTTGCTCATACTGCCCTCGCGAGTCATTCCGGCGGTCCCTCGAGTCATAGTGTCCTCGTGACTCATCGCGTCGGTCCCCTCGGTTGTACCATCCCCGCAACTCGTCGCGCTGCTCTCTCG